AGAGAAAAAAAGTTGTTTTTTTCCAAAGTGAATCTGAGAGGTCGAAAGTCCTGGAATGAAAATTAAAATTGTGAGAAAATCGGTGAAAAAGTTCATTAAGTTCATAATTTATTTTTGATGAGTTTAATAGTAACGACCTAACTGTCATGAACTAAAAATCCATCCGTTAAGAGGTTCACTATAAACTATGCGTCTAACATATCTCTACGACTTACGAGAGTTGGAAGATTTAGAAGCTTTGTACTTGTATAGGGAGGAAGATTTATCGCAGAGTTCCCTCGGAAGTTTCTTAATTTAGAAAGGGTCTTTGAACCCCTTTGACCAACTTTTGACAATGGCAAAAGAATGATATTGTGGTGTTGATATGAAGATGGAAGTTGAGCTTAGGGTCAATCATAACCCCCAAATCGACAAACTACACTTATTAATTGTCTAAGGTCTCCGCATTCTATTTTATTATATTGTATTTCATTTTATTTTATTTTAATTAATTTTATTGTATTTTATTTTATTTTATTTCGTTTTAATTTTTGTTATTTCGTTTTATTAACTTAATTTAATTTTATTTAATTTATCTTAATTAAATTTATTTTATTTTGTTTTTTTTTTTTCAATTCTATTTCAGTTACTTTAATTTGATTTAATTTAATTTTACTTTATTTCATTTCATTTTCTTTTGAGTTATTGTATTTTATTTATTTTCTTTTTTTATATTTCAATATATTTTATTTTATTTGATTTATTCAATTTTTTTTTCTAATAATTACTCTAATTTAACTTTTAATTTCATTGTCTTTTATATTATTTTACTTTATATTAATTTTTTTAAGTTATTTCATTTCATCTTATTAATTCTATTATTTTTTTAAATTTTCTTCTTAAAATGTAATTTTATTTTATTTCATTTTAACTAAATCTTTAACATATTTTTTATTTTATTTTACTTTATTTTTTTATATTATTTCACTTACTTTAATTTAATTTAATTTTATATTATTTTATTTTGCTTTATTTTATTTTATGTTATGTTATGTTATTTTTTTTTTTTGAATTTATTTTTCTATTATATTTTATATTCTTTTATTTCACTTTTTCATTATAATTTATTTTATTTGATTTATTGAATTTTTTTATTTTTATTTTCTATTAATTACTTTAATTTAACTTGATTTTATTTATTTATTATTATTATTATTTTATTATTGTCTATTATATTATTTAGTTCATCTTATTTTATTCTATTTTAGTTTACTTCTTATTAAATGTTTTTTTTTTTAATTTTGTTCTTAAAATGCAATTTTATTTTTTTCATTTAACTAATTCTTTTATATTTTTATTTTTTTAATTTCAGTTACTCTCATATAATTAAATTTTTTTATTTTGTTTAATTTTATTTTATTTTATTTTAATATTTATTTCATTCTATCATATTTTAGTATATTATTTTTATTTATCTCACTTTGTTTCATTTTAATTTAATATATATATTTTTTTATTTTATTTCATTTCTCTTTATTTTAATTTAGTTTATTATATTTAATTTTATTTGATTTTTTCTATTTTCTTATATTTTTATATTTTCTAGTTTATTTCTATTTCTTTTTTAAGGTTATTTTTTTATTTTATTCTTAAATTGTAATTTTAATATTTTTCATTTTAAATATTTCTTTTATATTTATATTTTATTTTATTTCATTTTAATTTATTTTATTTCGCTATATTTTAACTTATTTTAATTTAATTTCATTGAGCTCTATTAATTTTATTTTATTTCATTTCATTTTGTTGTATTTTATTTTGATTTGTATTAATTAGTTTTATTTCAACTCAATTTAATTTAATTTAGCTTAAAAAATGTTATTTTATTTTTGTTAATTTTATTTCATTTTATTTTGTTTTATTTTATTCTATTTTACTTTATATTATTTTATATTATTTTATTTTTTTGTTTTTATTTTATGTGATTTCATTTTATTCCATTTTACTTGATTTGATTTTGTTTTATTTAACTTTACTTCTCTTCCATTAATTTAATTTACTGAATTTAATTTTTTAATTTAAAATTTTAGTTTTAATTTATTTATATTCTATTTTATTTAATTTTATTATTATTTATTTTATTTAATTTTGTTTTATTTAGTTTTAACTTAAATTAATTTTACTTAGTTATATTTTATTTAATTTTTTTTAATTTTATATATTTTATTATGTTTGATGTAATTTTGTTTTATTACTTTAATTTAATTTTAAGTTAAATAATTTAATTTTTTTCATTTCAATTTATTTTACTTTATTTGATTTATTTATTTTTTATTTTATCTTATTTTGGTTTGTTTTTTTTATATTATATTTTATTTTATTTCACCTTATTTTATTTATTTTAAATTAATTTATTTAATTTTGTTTATTTATCTTTTATTTGATTTTGTTAAATCTTATTTCGTTTTGTTTTATTACAAGTTGATTTTATCAGGTTTTTTCAAATCTGGATTCCTGGATATCTAAAAGTGTAAAATATTTTGTGTATTTTTGCGAATGAAATTTCTTTTTATCGCTTTTAAGAAATACATACATCATCAGCATTAGCTTAAAACGATTAGTTTTTTGTGTAAAAATCGTGCGGCATGTGACGCTATTAGAAATATAATTAGAAAATGTGCTAAGCTAAGTTAAATAATGAGACTCAAATCTGTATGGCGCCACTATCATTTGTTATTATCAGCTTTGGCTTGGAAAGTACCCGACCTGTTTCATGCCTCCCTCAATTCAGAAGCAAAACAGCAAGATCAATTCCTATGTGTTCGGATAAAAATTAAAAGAGAGTTCTAATAATGCCTTCTTAGCGATTCTCTGGTTAACTCAGTTTAGCATTTACAGTTTTAGCTGCCTTGTTACAAATGGCTTGGCCTTCTTCATGCCTTCCAAACATTTTCCATCATGCAGTTTGACTCGCATCACAGCCAATGAAACACTTTGAAACTTATGAGTTAGAAAGAGTGTCTGAATCTTGTATAAGTGACTCTAAAGTATGGATTTTATCTGTTACATTCGTCATCACTAAAAGTGTTAGCAACACCGCTCTCATGTTTTTTCGTAGTGGTAGTAGATTAAATATTGTCAAGAGGCAAAGTTTTTAGAGACCAGCTTTTGAGGAAGATAAGTCTCGCTTGGCAATCTGTGTACATAAGCCTGGAAACTGATTATTAACCACGGCCGTGGTAGCCGAGTGTTTAGCTTTGCCTACTGTCATTCGAAAGGGTCGGGTTCAAGTCTTAGTGCCACCAACATCCAAAAATTATGAAAAATTAATTTAAATAAAAAATTAAGTTAAATTTCCTAATAGCGGGCACCCCCTGGGCAGGGAATATCAACCCCTCGAGTGTATTTCTGACTTGAAATAAAACTCCTCATGAAAAAACCATCAGCCCGTCGGAGGCGGCTTAGTATAAACTGTAGATCCCTCCATTTGTTAAAAAAAAACATGCCGACGAAAGACCACAAATTGGAAGAGGACCTCGGCTAAAAATAGCTTCAAAGGTTATAAGTGCCAATTATATATAAATGAGTGCAGTGCACTCTGGACCACGCTTCGTTTGACATGTTAACTGCTGCAAACTTACCTCCAACGTACTCGTATGCATCAAGAATTTTCTAAAGTGTATTCCGAGGGAAAGAGATCAAAATTATTAGTTTGTGTTCTTACGAAAAGAGAAATAAATAGGCATTTAGCCCCTTTTTAGATGATATCTGGCGGATTGTAGACTACACTATATCTTAGAGGTTTGAGATCTATGTTGCCTGGACATCCCAAAGAACTTATGTTGACCAACGATTCCTCACTGCATCCTCCAGTACACACTCAGCATTTTCTGTGTGCTTGAAAAGCACTTTGCTTTGCCGGGTCTGGGTACGGGTCATCATTCCATTAACCTACTGGCAGATTGTGATACCTATAGTGGCCCTATAAAAGGAACTCCTCTCACCTTTCTAGAGCTTCACTAAGACACTGGCAATAACAGAAGTAATGTTCCCTTGACTCCTTCACGTCAATGTTTCTGCAGCTTCGCTAGAAGTCATTAGAGACGTAGTCAACCTTTCTCCCCATACCGTCTCTTAGTTTCCTAAAATATCTCTTTGTCCAGCTGTACTTAGAACGAACGTTTCGCATCTACCCATAAGTTTGTTAAAAAGTTTTCGGCATCGTATTGTCCTTTTTGAGGTGGTGTGATTAACATTGAAGACCCATAAAAGCACCTCGACTATCATCATATATTGTGATAAGTTGAGTTACCTTCTGAAGTTGAATAACCACGAAACGATTTTTATAACCAAAGAGGCTGAAACTTAATGTTTCTAGAACCTTGTTCGATAGATCATTGGTAATGATCTCATACAACATTTCTAGTAACCGTTATTAAGTTCAGCATACTCGTAATACTCATACATCCGAGTAACTACGAAAAATGGGCGGTGTTGGTCTCTTCTGGTCTCGCAAAGCACAAAAGTAGGGAATGCATCCGGCTGTAACTTGTATATTTATTTTATAAACCATCTTCCCACTAGTTACCATATACTCTATTGTTACTCTCATAACATGGAAAATTTGGAACGAAGGATCCTGCTGGAGTTGGATATTTTAATTATTGTCTCGAAACCTTCCACAACTCTCAGAGTAAGACTGCAACTCATTGAAACTTAGGCTCGGTAAAATACAGTCCCTTTGATATCTTCTACTTCTATATATGTTCTTAGTACTCTTCCTTGGTTGAAGGGCGACCCCAAGCCTATATGTTATATTTCTAAAGACTCTCCAACTCCCAAGGTCCTTTGAAACGGGTTTAAGAAAAGCTGGAACCTAAAGCCTGGCTTAATAAATAAAGGATCAAAGAATTACCACATCTGACCACTAGTTTCACAAACCTACGAAGTGCTAGTATTTGACATACAAGTAGTTTTCGAACAAGATTCATCTTCATTGCACACACCAAGTCCACAATTTATTTATGAGCAATTGCATATATATTTCGACATCATGCATTTTTTATAAAACAGATGTCCACTAGTTTTTAACCAAACAAGTGAAGAAAATGTTGGAGAGCATTCTTTGGTATTTTGATCAATGGTGAAACAAGTCTTCCAATTAATCCTCCCTTGGAGCTGGAGTTGCCTTTAGTAGGTGCCGCAGTCGATACAGCAGCAGCAGAACTATCATCAGATGCCCCTGAAGAAGAGGCACCACTGCTGGCTTCAGCAGAGGACCTGGTAGAAGAGGCACCACTGCCGGCTTCATCAGAGGCCTCAGTAGAAGAGGCACCACTTCCGGCTTCCACTTGGTTGAAGCTCATGAAGACTGTAAGCAGAAAATCGTAACTTAGAAAATAAAAATAAAAACCGATAATAACTTTCTCACCAAAAGCGCAGATCAAGGAAACGCAAAACAATTTTCGGAACATTTTGAACTGGAATGAAAATCATACAGCAGGAAAATGTATTTATAAGAAAAAGCTGCCAGGCAAAGTCTTAGAAAATCTTTACATGCCAGCGAAAAAACATGTAAATATATTTTTAAAAATCTTATTGATCTTCTTTAATGAAATTTAAAACACGATCTTTGTACGTGCCCTGATGATCTATGAAAAGATAAAATTTAACAGTTTTTGAAAGTAATATAAAGTTCAGTTAAAAAAATATTCATTATTATTTTATGCCAATGTTTTTCTCGGTTTCAAATCTACAATTTCTTAAAGGAAACCTTTTTGGATAATTTGGAAATTATAAAAGCTGTGGTTCTGTCGGAAGTTTGATCGATGTTTTGCCTGGTGGTGCGGCAGTGTCAAGAGCTCTTGGTGCTGTAGGTAATTTCCTTTCTGGTCTCCCAATTGTTGATGGCTTACTTAGTGGTGTAAGCGGCGATTTACTAGGATGTTAAGTCTATATTTTTATAGCTAGAGATGTTCTCTACATTTGTAAAAATTTTAACTTCGATCTATTAAAATATTTGTTTAAAGCCGTTTTCATAAGCGGCAGGAGAAGAAAAGAGTTTGCTAGATGCTTTGTATTACAAATAAAATGGAAATTTTGGGTGTACGCCTTAATTCGTGCGGTTTTCTGAGAGAGGGCTCAACTAGGATTATTTCCCGTCGTGTTCGTCTGTGGCTATATTGATTTCAAAGACACCATCATTTCGCGTCGTTGTCAGTAGATGTCATTTGTTTTAGCGTGAACAACAATTTGTTTCATTCATTTGTAAAAGTCGAAATTTGTACCAGATAAAGTGTTTTTGCGGGGAGTTCTTCTTCATTAATTTAACATGCAGAAAAGTGCTACCGAAAGCCATCGTATTTTAGTGGACGTTTATGGTGACTATGGCTTCGCCGAACGAATGTGCCAAAAGTGGTTTGCACGGTTAAAAAATGACAATTTCGACTTAGACGACGGACAGCCAAAAAAATTTCAAGACAAAGAATTGGAGACATTGTTCGACGCAGATGCATGCCGGACGAAAGAAGAACTTGCGGTATTGAGTATTAGGCGTTGATCAAGCAACCGTTTCCAGACGACTCAAATTATTTTTTCCACAATAAAGTCTTAATTTTCAAAAACAAAAAACCGCATGAATTAATGCATACACTAAATAGTTGACATTTTTTTAAATTTTTTTCTTAACTTAGACTTACTGGTTTTCTCGACTATATGGGAAATGTCCGTGGATTGACTGCCTGCTCATATGGTCATATCAGGGAATTGCGCGGCCGATAAGCTGACCGGATAGGGATGGTCATAGCCCCGGTAAACTTTGCAGTCCGTGAATTTCCCGGAAATTTCTACTTCTAAAATACACCAACTGGTATGAACATATAGAAAGTTGGGAGGAATAAAATAAAAATCCAAAATTTCCTGCAAAATTTCCCTAAAACATCTCCAAAACTGTGAAACTAATTTGCATTCAAGCGCAGATGTAGCCAATCCAGCCAGCCACTTATCTTCTTGAATTCTGATACTCTTTTACAATTAACAAAATTGTAATACAACAATCATGATAGACATACAGGCGCTGAAGCCCACTATCAGGGGTTGGAAAATACAATACTCGTATAATAAGTGGTTTTTAAATGTTTGAACATTTCAAAAATATGAAGATTTTTTTTTATTTAAAAATTGTAGACTTTTTTATGAGAAGAGGATAGCATAAAGAAGGTTTCGCAAACAACGGTCGGGAAACAACCATAAAACTTGATTAATTTTCGTGTGCCGGTATCTGATGCTACAGAGAACTGTATTCGTGCCCCAGCGAAGTTCATCAGCCTTTGGCCTTTTGGGGATATTTTGTCATGGACTTAGAATTTTTCTGACTGTTGAGCCGAATATAGTTTTTATGTCTCCCCTGGTATTCAAATCGGCGAGCAGGATCTTGGCATTATGGTGGGTCCACTGCTCAAACCTTCTCACTCAAAGAAAAAAATTCCCTCAAATAAGGATCATCGAAGTCTTGGCAAAGATCGTCATCAAAAAATTGGCCCTCAACCTAAGGTCTTGTCATATTTGAATGGAGTTGCATTTTTAGGTGGTATCTCCTTTCAACCAGATGAGTAAATGTAGGAATCTACATTAAAATTATAGCTTGTTATTTTCAATTTTTCAGTTTTTATGTTACTGAATTTTTTAATTTCAAATATTTTCACTTTCAAACACGCAAGCAGTTCGAAGTTATAAATAAATTTTATAAAAAAATAAAGTTTTTCTTTGTTTATACAGACTTGGCCAAAAGTATTAGCACCCCACATGTGAAGTAATGAAGTTGTATTAGTAAAACAGTGAAAATACAATGAATTAGTGAAAATAACATTAATATTTAGTACTTCCACTCTTCGATTTAACAACGGCGACAATTCTCTTAGGCATGTTGCGTACAACCTTTGCACATTCGACCGCACTTATAGCATACCATTCGTTAATTAAAGCACTCTTTAAGGCAGTTCTTGATGTTACACTGTGTTTCTTAATCTTCCGTTTTAAAATAGCCCACATGTGCTCAATGGGATTAAGATCTAGAGACTGTTATCCCTAAACCAACGCATCGTAGTCACTGATTTGTGGCAAGGAGCATTGTCTTGCTGAAACTGAACCCCGTCTAAATTAGTGTCGCCGAAAATCCGCATTAACGAAGGCAGAAGAACAGCTTCTAATACACTTATGTACTTTTGATTGCCCATGCGACCCTTGCAAACGAACATTTCGGCCCAGGTCATAACGCTGCCTCCTCCATGCTTAGCAGAGGATACCACGCAGTCTGGATGATATTCTTCCTTAACGAACGTCGCTTCACGAACGTCATACCAGGTATTCCAAATTGCTCTAGTGTAAGGAGCCACGGTTGTTAATATAATACTTAAAGACGATCTTAACTAAGCTTACCTCGAAGTTTGATTCATCAGACCACAGAACATTCGATCAATCTTCTTCCGTGAAATGTTGGTATCGCCGAGCACATTTTAAACGATTTTTCCTATTCTTTTCTGAGAGCCACGGCTTCTTCCGGGCTTTACATCCTTTTAAGCCTGCTTCCAGTAGTCTTCTTCTGGCTGTTCGAGCACTAACAGGTTAACTAAATTTATCCGAAAAGTCAGCTGCAAGGGCAGAAGAAGATTTTCGTTTACTGGTTAGACGCTTTCTTCCACTTTTTGATTTATTATTGTGGGATTTCGCTTCCTCAAATCGTCTGATAGCACATTGGACCTCCCACCGCGAAAATCACACCAAATTGGCAATCTCAACTTGAGACTTACCTTCTTCACTTAGAACTAGAATTCTAACTCTATCATCGTAACTAATTTCACTTTTTCTTGGCATTTCGGTAAATATGAATTGTTTTCATAAGATTGGCAGCTTTTCACTAAATGTGATTTACACTTTCACTTTCAAATTTTAAATGCGAAAATATTTTATGAATTTCTTAAAAATGACAATTTTTAGGCTTAGCTTACCCATGACTATGACTTTTAATATTATATTACACAATTTATTCGTTTAATCAACAGTTAAACATCCATGTACGACATTTATAGAAAGAAGTGAGAATACTTGTATTTTAGTGGGGTGCCTAATACTTTTGTCCAAGGCAAAAGGGCTCTCAACATATACACGTGTACATGATGCCACTCTGCGATCTGCGATGTTGCCGGAAAAGGATCTCGATCAAAGATGGTCGTTCAGAACGCGTGGCGTTCCGTGGCGAACATGATGTCATAGATTAATAACTAATTAGCGTTTTGTTTTTTGGGGTTTGCGTCTCGATATTTTTTCCAATAAAAGGAAGGCCCTACAGTTTAATCTAAGCCGCCTCGGGGCGACATATGTTTTTTTATGAGCAGATTTTATTGCATGTCGGAAATACAGTCGGGGGCTTGATATTTCCTGTCAAAGTACGACCGTAGTTAGAAAATAAATTTTCTATAATTTTGGATAATGATCGAACCAGGACTTAAACCCTGACCTGCAGAGTAGCAGTATGCAATTCTAACCACTTGGCATCCACGATGGTTAAATAAGTTAAAAACCCTTCGAAAAGTCAGATACATCAAGTCGCATACCGTTTGCAGAAGCTTTCCCCCGGAAGCCAACAACTACCCAGCAATGAATTCAAACTATCCTCATGTTGAATACGCAAAGGACTTGTTTCCTTACGTGTACTGGCCGACGTTGATATTTTTGATGCCTCTTTTGGATTTCACCAATAAGGTGTTTTCACTCATTTCTCTTTCTATTATTGTTTCTCATTCGGCGGACTATTAATACCACGGCTTATGCAGTTTCCGATAAGTTTACCTTAGTGTTGGCACTTAATACCACTATTCTGTTGAACAAACAATCGATTGCATATTTTAATCGCTTTCAATGGCAGATGTGCTGCCCTCAAACCCGACAGAGGCAACAATTGTTGTGTAATTCTCACGCAAATAACAAAAAATACAAGCGGATAAAGTAATCAGACAAGGAAATTAACAAAAAAAAAAAACGGTAGTTACTGAATGTGACACAAATCGAGAGAAAACGGGCACTACGTGATTTCACGAAGTCCTGCAGCATTACGAGACCTTTATGCTTGCCTTACGACCGAAAAAAATGCAGGAGAGTGGATAAAAAGGTAGGCAGCAGACGGTAGAAAAGGCCACAAATGAAATGCGAAATATTCACTTAACGAGCAAGTGTATGCATAAAAAATATGGAAGAAGAAAAGAAAAAGGGAATTGTATAGAAATTGATGTCGCCAGGCGGCCGTAAATTACAACATTTGTAGTTGCCCTTCTGCATCTTTTTTAAGTTCACACAATCTTTGTGTTATTGGAAATTCGTGCTTCACGGAATGTTAACTAACGAGCGTAAAACATGCAGAAGCGGCTTGCAAGGCCGCTACTCCAATTGGGTATAAGATATAAAATATTATTAGTTGTTCGTTGATTTGGATTTAAACAACTTGAGAACTCAGAGGGAAAGCAAAATTTTACCATTAAATGAGTTCTGAAAAGATCGAAACAAATGTCAGCCTGACGGCGCAAGGTCAGAATAGCAGAAGTATGTTCATCAACAGTTCAAAATTTCAAATTTTTTAAGAGGCATATCAAAAACGTTGAAGCGGATTGTTCGATAAAATTCTTTCAATTCTTGTGGTACCCAAATATCAAGTTTTTTACTAGTCCAAGACGTCGTATATCATTACTAACGGTTGATTTTAGTATACTTAACTTCTCTTCAATCTCACGTTCAGTTACGTGACGACCCGTTTTGATTCAAGCCTAGATATTGTCATAATTAACATCACTTGGCCGACCTGAACGTGAGTTGCCTTTGAGTGAAAAATCTCCCGAACGCCGAACGGAATTTGACAAACCAACTTCAACACTGTATGTCTTTCAAAGCCACATCACCTTACAAATAAGCCTGCGCTGCATCTTTTCCATTAAGGAAATAATAAAGTAAAATATGGCATACTTTTTTTTCTAAAGCAAGCTAAAAGTGACAGCTTATAACTGTCAAAGGAAAAAATACAGTTAATTAGTCAACGCCGTCTGTATGAAAGATCGCCGGTTTCTCTTGGGTCAACCCAAGAGATTTACTTCTGCCTGCTGTTGAAGTGAGAGAGAGAGAGAGAGACCACACGCCACAAACCAAGCCAATTTGAATTAACAGAATCTTCTTGCGTTACATCTCTAAGCGCTAAATTTAGTGAGAAACTCTTCTAAGAGCATTTATTGAAGTATAAACTTTTGAAGGATGTAATCTGACTTAGTGGTAGATGGTGAGAGCTTTCGGCTCCCACAACTATAGACTACAGAAGCCCACCTAATAATCTATTGAGTCTGCTGTTTTACCAACTTTTTTTTTCCTTTTTCCTCAATTATATAATATATGAAGCCCAGTTTAATGGGCTATGTAAAACCTAAAACAGTTCAGTAGAAATTGATCTATTAATATTTTATTTGTATTGCATGAGTTAAATAAGCTGACAAGAGTTTAACACGCTGAAACGAAATGAGATATCTACATTGTGGGTCTTCCTATAAGGCATCGTCTATCGAGCAGGCGCGTGCAATTAAACGAAGTTGTAGAGCTGCCTTTGCGATTGTAGCCCACCTTGGGGGAGTTGGTTAAAGTTTCTAGATGCGACATGCTTCAGAGACTTGAGGGGAATAGCGGGTGAAAGAACCATCGATTACTCAGCTTTGCGAACTGTGCGCATTGATTTCACTAGCGACGTGGGGGTAGTATAGACCTTGTTTAGTTGCACAATGGGCATATTTGGTGGCCTAAGTGAGAAGTTTTCTAGCAACTACTTCAACCTAACCTTTTTGTGGAGATAATTTAACGAGAATCGGACATTGTGGAGTGTTTTGAAAATAAGAATATATCCTCTTCCGGATGTAATCGTTGATGGAATAAACTTTGGTTGACCCGCGACATAAAAAACGGATAAGAGTTAGTTAGCTGTAGTTTCTTGATCACGGAACCCTGATCAAGTGCAACTGGACTGGCTGGCTCTTGTGATACATATTGTGAATTATATAGAACGTTTCATATAACTCAATTGAGTTTTGGCCTTTGCTGTGGCAAGTTCTATAGGGCAGGATAATAAAAATTAGCGAAGAAACGATTTTAGGCCATACTGAGAGCCAAGCAGGGGAATGTGTACAGACGTCATTTTTTTTTTTGCTCACAGAGTTCCAGTTTGGAAGAAGCAGACATTTCTCTCCCATTATTGGCCAGACCTATCTGGTCTCTTTGCTTGGCGTTTCAACCTGCAATTTGCTATTTACTCTGCTGCTGATCTCATCAGGTACTTTGCCATGGTTAGGACTGTCCTTTTTTAAAAATTTGGTTTTGGATCTGTGGTAGGGCGGCGCTGGGTCGCAAAGTACTATCTTATTTAGTTGCTAATAATTCTGGTTAAACACAGTTTTGATTCCTTTGGCTGATATGATCCACGTTTAAGATATTTGTCATCTTCTTGCAGTTTCAATTAGTAAAACCTGCTTGTCCTTTGCTTCGGTCTTTTATTACTAAACTACTTCTTTACCAACCGTGTAAAGGCATCTTTTTTTGTTCGCATTTCTTAAAATGTAGACTGCTTTGCCTCACCTCGTTGGGTATTCCTTATTTTGAAACCAGCTCGATGCTGTCTTGGTAGCAATCACTTAAAACCACACCTAATCGTCATGCATTCAGATTCAAGTAAATTAATAAATTCAGGGAAATATACATATATATTTTCTTAAATTCATTTTAATTGCATTACAATTTTTATAACTTTCCAACGAAGGGTTCATGCTCATAAGCAACTGCGCTTAACGTCCAAGGGGAAGTCCACCAGCGAGACCACCGGCAGTACCAAGAACTCCCGATATTGCCGAACCACCAGGTAAGCCGGCGGCCAAGCCTCCGATAGCACCCAGTAAGGGTTCAGGTCGACATTCACAGCCATTTAGTAAAACTGTAAAGAATTAACAAATGAAAAAATGTTGAAGAACTTTTCTTGAAGAAATCGTAGAAATGCAAAGTACCTACCTGTGACCAGCAGTAGAGCGGAAACGATTTGACGGAGGAAAAACATTACTTCAGAATGATATGAGTGTAAGGCGAGACTAATTTAGCTTTAAGGCTGGTGCCAGTGATATTTATACTTCCTTTTCAAAAACAGTTATATTTAATATTTTTATTTATTTCGACACGTTTAAAAGTCGTGTTTTCAATTTTTTACAATTTTCATTAAAGAAAATCAATAAAAAAAAATTTGTTACATTTTAGATACTTTTTTGCTGGCATTGTAAGTAATTAAAAGAAAAATGTTGTTTTCAGCTTTCTCATTTAAATGCAGTCTGATGTACAAATTTTAATTTCCGTTCAAAATGTTTCGCGTTTAATAAGAAAAATTATGATTTATTTAATTTCAATTTTCAAATTTACGTTTCTATCCTTACAGTATTCATGAACTTCCATCAAGTAGAAGCCGGCAGTGTTACAACGGAGTCGACCGCTGCATCCACTTCTTATGCTGAATCGTCTAGTGATAGCGATGGCACTGTGGACAGCTCCATTTCACAATCGCTCATCTGTACTCTATCATAACCTAGAATATCATCTGTCCAATGCCCTATGAGCACTTCATAAAGTGGTGAGTGGTATCAGGTATATGTTGTGAGCACTATAGATACATAAATTAATCTATTTATATGTATATATAAATTATAATTTCCAAATTATCCAAAAAGGTTTTCTTTAAGAAATTGTAGATTTCAAAAGACCGAGAAAAAACATTGGCATAAAATAATAATGAATATTTTTTTTAATTGAACTTTATATTACTTTCAAAAACTGTTAAACTTTATCTTTTCAAAGATCATCAGGGCACGCACAAAGATCGTGTTTTAAATTTCATTAAAGAAGATCAATGAGATTTTTAAAAATATATTTACATGTTTTTCCGCTGGCATTGTAAAGATTTTCTAAGACTTTGCCTGGCAGCTTTTTCTTATAAATACATTTTCCTGCTGTGTGATTTTCATTCCAGTTCAAAATGTTCCGAAAATTGTTTTGCGTTTCCTTGATCTGCGCTTTTGGTGAGAAAGTTATTATCGGTTTTTATTTTTATTTTCTAAGTTACGATTTTCTGCTTACAGTCTTCATGAGCTTCAACCAAGTGGAAGCCGGAAGTGGTGCCTCTTCTACTGAGGCCTCTGATGAAGCCGGCAGTGGTGCCTCTTCTACCAGGTCCTCTGCTGAAGCCAGCAGTGGTGCCTCTTCTTCAGGGGCATCTGATGATAGTTCTGCTGCTGCTGTATCGACTGCGGCACCTACTAAAGGCAACTCCAGCTCCAAGGGAGGATTTATTGGAAAACTCATTTCACCATTGATCAAAATACCAAAGGATGCTCTCCAACATTTTCTTCACTTGTTCGGTTAAAAACTAGGGAACGTCTGTTTTATGAAAAATGCATGATGTCGAAATATATATGCAACTGCTTATAAATAACTCGTGGACTTGGTGTGTGCAATGAAGATGAATCTTGTTCGAAAACTATGTGAAATACTAGCACTTAGGAGTTTTGTGAAACTAGGGGTCAGATGAGGTAATTCTTTGATACTTTATTTTCTTCTATTAAGACAGGCTTTAGGTCCCAGCTTTTCTTAAACCCCTTTCAAAGGACCTTGGGAGTGGGAGGGTCTTTAGAAATATAACATATAGGCTTGGGGTGGCCCTTCAACCAAAGAAGAGCACTGAGAACATATATAGAAGTTTGGCTTAGGGCATAAAGTCGTCGTTAAGGCCTAATGACGAGGAATAGAGGAGAAGACTATGAAAAATTAATTACAAACTTGGCACCACTTGTCTATCACCACATCAGGTTTTAGTGCGGTATTCGAGCTGATACTTTTGTACAGAAAAATCATATTTTCCAATCTATACTGCTCTATACATACGAACATAACGGTATATCGGCAAGCCCAAGATATCAAAGAGACTGTTTTTCCTGAGCCTAAGTTTCAATGAGTTGCAGTCTTGCTCTGAGGGTTGTGGAAGGTTCCGAGCCAATAATTAAAATATCCACCTTCAGCAGGATCCTACGATCCGAATATTCAATGTTATGAGAGTAACAATAGTGGATATGGTAACTAGTTCGAAGATGGTTTATAAAATAAATATACAAGTTACAGCCGGACGCATTCCCTACTTTTCTGCTTTGCGAGACCAGAAGAGACCAACACCGCCCATTTTTCGTAGTTACTCGGATGTATGAATATTACGAGTATGCTGAACTTAATAACGGTTACTAGAAATGTTGTATGAAATCATTACCAATAATCTATCGAACAAGGTTCTAAAAACATTAAGTTTCAGCCTCTGAGGTTATAAAAATCGTTTCGTGGTTATTCAACTTCAGAAGGTAACTCAACTTATCACAATATATGATGATAGTCAAGGTACTTTTAAGGGTCTTCAATGTTAATCACACCACCTCAAAAAGGACAATACGATACCGAAAACCTTTTAACAAACTAGGTATACCTGGACAAAGAGACATTTTAGGAAACTAAGAGACGGTATGGGGAGAAAGGTTAACTACGTCTCTAATGACTTCTAGCGAAGCTGCAGAAACATTGACGTGAAGGAGTGAAAGGAACATTACTTCTGTTATTGCCTGTGCCTTAGTGAAGCTCTAGAAAGGTGAGAAGAGTTCCTTTTATAGGGCCACTATAGGTTTCACATTCTGTCAGCAGATGTAAGTAGATCAAACCCACCATGATGGAATGATGGCTCGGACCCAGACCCGGCAAAGCAAAGTGCTATTCAAGCACACAGGAAATGCTGTGTATGTACTGAAGGATGCAGTGAGAAATCGTTGAGAGACCTGGTCAACACATGACAACATAGATCTCAAACCTCCAAGATGTAGTGTAGTCTATAACCCGCCAGATATCATCTAAAAATGGGCTAAATAAGCATCTCTTTTCGTATGAACACAGACTAATAATTTTAACCTCTTTCCCTCGGAATACACTTGAGAAAATTCTTGATGCATACGAGAACTTTGGAGGTAAGTTTGCAGCAGTTGGAATGTCAAAGGCACTCAACAAATCAAAACAGTTCTGAAGGAATATGCACACTACCTGTTTACCATTAGTAAAGCGATGGAGAATGGTATAACGGTCACGTATCGGTGGATAATAATAGCCAACCAAAAGGCAAACCGGTAAAATGAATATGTATCTTTTACAAGACTGGACAAGAACTTTCCGTGGAACAATACGAACTAACAATGACGTCTTAAAGACCAGTGGAAACGGGTTCCAGACTACATGCAAATATGGGAACAAGTTGAGATAGCCAAAAGTGCCATTTGTCTGTCAGCCGAATCACACGTGTAGTCGGGAAAGACGCTGTACCATGAAATTCGTATCAGTAGGAGATACCAAAACGTAACGTTCCGCCGCTCTGTAAATATCGTATGCAGCGCCAGCGAGAGAGAACGGCATCCACTTTTTGATCCCGCGATCTCGATAGGACTACAGGATATTTGCGGGCGAGTTTGGGAGATAGGTAAGAGTGAGAAGTTGAAAGTGCTCCTCTTTTTATGTCTGACAGTAACTAGGCGTTTTATATATGTGTTGTGCTGTTCAGAAGACTAGTGTAAGTTTCAATATTGAATTTAAAGGTCCACTAGAACTTAGCAAAAACTTTAGGCGTTCTACGCGTTGACTTCTTTATAAATTTAACTGGCACTTTGTAGCCGCAATGGTCCTCCTCTTACTTGTGGTAAACGGCCGTTAGATTTTTACAAAAATCTTTTATATAATTACAGAAATACATTCCGAAAGCTTGACATTCCCTGCCGAGGTGCGAACTCAATTAGAAAAAATAATTTCATTTAATATAATATAATATTTAATGTTAGTTGGATCAGCTCTCGAACCCCGACTTTCCGAATGGTATGCACACAGCTAACACTCGGCTCTTGCGCCCGCCAATGATTACCTTATTTCGCATTACATCGACCCTTAGCCGGACGCAACAAAAGACCGACAGGTCTGTGTGTGACCTGTCTTAAGCCTCATTTCTTGCATGGTAATTAGCAGTAAGTGGACCGGTGATAAACGCATCTAATAATGTTTACTCTATGGCTCACAGCTTTCACGGTTTTACAGTCATATATACATACATGACTACAAGCAGCTTGGCTCGTGGCGCAACAGCTGCGGCCGAACTCTTAGTTACATAAATCGTTTGCTGATGATAGCGATTAATTAAATACAATCGATGGCAGTCTTAAGCGTATACGTGTCCGTAATAATTATGCATTTCCAGCAGATTGAAACGCGAGCTAAATGGGCACGCAACACAAGCGCCAGGCCGACCACAAGCGTGCATATTTACTGGTCTACGTTTACCAATGATAAAGTATGCGATGACCGACACGCATTTTGGACTTACAGAGATTAATTTGACAAAAAAAAAAACAACAAAGATAACACAAGCCCGTGTAGACCTCAGATTGAACTACGAACAGATAATGACCAGTTTATTGAATATTTATATAGGACTTCAGCAACTGACCGCATTTCCAATTTTATCTATAGGAGACGAAGGTCAAGACGCGCGGAGCGAGCGTTATTTTGATAATAAGAATAAGGAGAACGCAGCCAATAGTCGAGACAGGACCCCTTGTCCTCCAGCTTGGCTACAAAAATGAAGTTCATTTCAAGGATAATTATAGTTTGTGGTAAAAACTTTAGAAGAGTATTTAGTAATGATTTGCATTGGCATCTTAACTCTTTTTTTCGCTATCGTTTGGCAGACCAGCTCGACGTAAGAGTCGATAGAAGAAACGCAAATGCATGCTCCGCCTTCTGCTGAGACAAAAACTTCATCGGAAATAACTATAACTTCAACTTTGGTGCAGAACACATTGTCCTCGACGACATCGTCTCTACTATCAGTGCCAGGTCTTGAGCCACAATGGGTATTCGAATCTACGTTAACAAGGACAACCGCAACTGAAAACAAAGTTTTAATGGATCCGCTGAACTCAGCTACTCGTGTGGAATACTTCATTCTAACGAGCTCCTCCACTATAAAATTTGTCGTTAAAGATATTTCTAAGTCTCTATCTACCACTAATACCACGCTGGCTATGCCACGTCTGAAAAAACCAAATCATATACCTAGAATAGACGGAGATCCAGTAAAGTCAGTGATAACACTTAGCTTCTGTACCGGTGCCGAAACCTATACCTTCAGCACCTACTGTACCATTTTTTGTAGACGCCGAATCCAATGAAAAATCTTCATGTGAACGGAACCTCGTTGTGACACCTACTCCTTCAGCAGCCAGGCTGCTTGATCCGTCTCAGCTACAAGCTTCACAGAAAATAAGTTCTGTTCACATCAGCTTGACAGTCATCTCTTTCCCTATTGCCACCAGACTCAACCACACCTTCAACTGTATTGCCAAATTCAAGTTTTCCACCAGACCAACGACCAGTTTGGATGTCTACTTCATTTACGCCTGTGGAAGTCTCACCATTAACACCTATAACTTCATTACTTCCACTCATAACTACAATAGTGACATCAACCATAATTCCGTCTGTCTCCACAATCTCTTGTAAACCCTACAAAATTCGCAAATTTCCCAAGTATAGATTAAAAACAAAACGGCGTCGCACTACAACAAAGAACCCGGAAGTCGCTTAGACAGTAAAATCATCATTGTCACCCTCCACTCCATTCGCTCTGGTCACAAAGGCTGCTTCTACTTCCAAACCGCTAACAAGTAATGTTCTTCAAATCATGCCTTCAAACGGTGCTCAGAGCCTATAGCGGGAGAGGCTCCAAAGGGTGAACACTTCTTTAATTAGCTCATAAGGCAGTTCCGATTCATTATAAAATATTTTTTTGTATTTTTTACTAATGACCATTTGAGGATGTAGATGTCTCTTTACATTTTAACTTGGAAGATTTGTCTAAGAGGAATCTGAATAATTTGATAAGCCACGTCTAAGTCTATTGTGTGGTGCGTTTTGGGTTTCAAAAGTAGGTGTAAATCGAGTCTTATTTATAAGCTCCCACGGTTAAGAGCGTGTATCCTGGGGATTTGAGTAGAGGCCATGATAGAGAGTTCAAGAAACGTACAATTCTTGGGTGAGAGTTAGATCCAGATCTTTGACTGTAATGCTTTCTATTCAAACCTTTATGCCTATATTCCTAACATGTGTCAGTAAGAAGGTTTTGATCGCCTCTCGACGATACTTTTTTTTGCCCACATATCATCAACTGCTTGGTGATGGTATAGGACGGATTGCCAACGGGTTGAGTTTAAACAATAAAAGATATGACTGCAAAAATATGTCAAGAAGGACGCCGCCGTCAGTGGCTTCCTAAAAAGGGACTCATTCCGAAATCCGATAATTTGTGGAACGAGTAGTCCAGTTTTTCGAATAACGAAAACCTGAACCCAAAACATTAACATATCACATTCA